CCGTATGTCTCCTTTTTTGGTATTTTCATGGAAATTCTTCTGCTAGTTGGAGTTTAGTCCACTTCTGTATCTTTCCCTTCAAAGCTCAGGGGTCCAGGATTATCTTCTGTGTCTGTGTTAATTGGTTCCCCTTTTCTTTGTTGAAGAGGAGGGTCTGTGCAGTCTTTCTACTATTCCGCCATCTTAATGGAACTCCCTTCAAAAACCTTTTTATTGTGATTTGGGTGCACATTTACGGAACAAATTGGTTTTCAGTTCCATTCAACAATTCATGGATACTTTGTTTTGTGACATTTATTTCAATCCCCACAATGTAGCAGTACTCTTCCCACTTTCTCCCTCTGTTTACCATTTCCATTCGTCTTTCTTTCCTATCCCTTTTTGCCTTCTGAGCTTTATTCCAGGCGAATGTGGCCCTTTTGATGTCATTTGTTTGATTGTTTTAAGGTGTGTGGCACTCTGGTGGCATAGTGCCTAAGGCATTTGACTGCTAACCAGAAGAGTGGCGGTTCAAACCCACCAGCCACTCCTCAGAAGGATGATTGGGCAATCCACTTCTGTAGAGATACTGCCTTGGAAACTTAAGGAGGAGTCGCTGAGTCAGATTCGACTTGATGGCAGTGAGTCACTTTAAATTAAATATGAATGTGCTGTTGTAGGGGCCAGTGTCATTCAAGGATGTGAATGTGGACTTCACCCAGGAGGAGTGGCAGTACCTGGAGCCAGCTCAGAGAACCCTGTACCGGGATGTCATGCTGGAGAACTACAGCTATCTTGTCTCAGTAGGTAAGGATTGTGTAATATGTAATATCCGTTTTCTTTTTAGCTGCTAATATAATTGGTTTCTTTGTAGTGCTTAATAATTTATAGTCTTGATATTCAGGAGACAGCTGATTGGTCCATTTTGCGTAGTATAAGAGCATTTATATTCTTTTCTTCTTTGAAATACTCAATTAGGCCTATTTTTGTACAGCTTCAGTTTTTGTGCTGGTGCACCTTTGTCTCCTTTAAAGGTCCTGAACCTCAGGCCACCTGGCCCCAGTCTTGTGTTATTTCCTCTTCACAGGATATTGTGTTACCAAACCAGAGATGATCTTTAAACTGGAGCAAGGAGATGAGCCTTGGATATTAGAGGAAGAGTCCCCATACCAGAACCACCCAGGTGAGTTAGTGAGTACACAGGGCACTACAAGCCAAGGAGAAATAGATCTAAAGGAGTTAGTTCAGATGTTAACATCTTTGAATATTTTCAGTAATTTATTTTTGGAGTTACCAGAACTTTGGAAATGGCTGAGAATAAGTGACCTGTGTGCCTGAGATGTATCATTATACTTGCAAATAATAGCTAAATGCTCTTTATATTCCTTCTAAAACTCTAATTCTTGCTTATCTTGTTTTAGGTATTTGATTATTCTTTTTGTTTTAGGTGCCTTCATTTAATCATATATTGTCCATTCACTTAACAAGCATTAATTTAGCACCTGTGAGTCAGAATCAACTCGATGGCAATGGATTTTTTTTTTTTTTTTTTTTTTAATATGCCAGTTTGGAGTCCCTAGGTGGTATGAATGGTTGATGTGCTTGACTGCTAACCAAATAGTTGGCAGTTCTGGTTCCACCTAGAGGAGCCTCAGCGAAAAGATCTGGAAATACACTTCTGAAAAATTAGCCATTGAAAACCCTGTGGAGCACAGTTGTGCTGTGACATACATAGAGTTATCACAAGTTGGAATTGACTCAGTATCAACAGGTTTTTGATAGTATATGTCGATGATGTTTATCTCTTGCGTTAGAGTTGCTAAGAATATAATGACTCTACTGTAATGGAGCCTGCATTCTAATGATGGAAGAAAATGATGTGGTGAGCTATTCATTAAAGTGTGATCCGTAAAGGACCTCTTTTTGGTCAGTATTATAATGAACACATTTGCATGAAGTGTGGAAGTGGATTCTGAATATTCCCATCTGATGTTACTATACCCTGTGCCATGAACCTGAGACCAGATTACTGCCTGCAGGAACAGTGATGAAGCTGGCTGGAGGGGGTTTAGTGAGTAACGGAAAACACATAAGAGATGGTGTCATAGAGGTAGTTGGAACCAAGTTATGTTTGGCCTTATTGGCCACTGTAAGCACAATATTTTTTTTCTAGTTGAGATGTAGCCATTGGAAAGTTTTGCGCAAAGGAGCACATGCTCTTATTTCTGTATGTCTTTGGCAGCTGTGCAGTGGACATACTGGCGCAGGGGTGGGGAAGGAAGTTAAGAGTGAAATTGGGAAGGTCAGTTAGCAGTAGTCAGCATGAAGGACAGAGATAACTTATACTAGCTTGGAAATTGTGAACGGTGGTGACATGGTGGGACACTTGATATATTTTGAAGTTGTATTCAAAACAGGATTTTCTGTTAGATTGGATTATAGATGCTAGAAAAAGAGTAGTCAAGGATGACCTCAAAGATCTTACCCTCAGACACATGATATATGATGGTACTATTAACTAAGATGTGGGAAAAATGAGAGAAGCAGTTTTGGTGGAAATAAGTAAAAATACAAGTAAATCTAAACAAATCCTGTCTGTATAAAATAGTGAAAATGTTCTGTTGTGTTTGAAAAGGACAAAAATAAATATTGAAAAATGGTAGTGTTGGCCAGAATTGTATTCTAAAAATTGTGTTCTAAAATGCTTTCATTGTTTAAAAGAAATTCTGCTGTGTTAAATATCAATGATAAAATTTACTGTGTAACTTCCAAACTTTTAAAGGGGGGGGGGGAATCCTGAAAACAATTACCAAACATCAGGTTGGATTAGATCCGAAAAGGAAAACAAAAGATGGAGGAAAAATAAGTAAGAATTAGAAAAAAGGGAAAGTATAAGTTAAATACAGGAAACCAATCCAGATATTTTAGTAATTGCAATACATTCAAAGGTACTAAACATGCTTGTTAAAAGATACTGTCAGATTGGATTTAAAAAAAAAGTAAGGAGTTTGAGAATCACACACGAAACTTTGGAATATAAAGGGAGTAATGACATTCAGTCCAATACTAAATAAAATAGAATTCTCTGTATACTATCAGGGTCCTAGTGGTTTTAAATTTAGTTTAAATTTCTTTTTAAATCATTATTTTCTTGTTGTATAAATATATATAACACAACATTGTGTCAGTTCAACTTTTCTCAGGTGTACAACTCAGTAATATCAATTATGTTAATTATGTTGTGTAACTATCACCCTTAATTGATGACATATTTCCCATCTCCATAAATACAAGCTCACCCCTAAACAGTGGCTCCTCTTCTTCTTTCTCCTGCCCCTCATAACTGCTAATACACTTTGGTCTCTATACATTTGCCTATTCTTGTAATTTCATGTAAGATCATACAATATTTGTCTTTTGTGATTTGTTTCACTCAGCATAATGTTTTCAAGGTTCATCCATTTTGTAGCATTTATCACGACTTCATTTCTCTTTATGGCTAAGTAGTATTCCATTGTATGTATATACTACATTTTGTTTATCCATTAGTCTGTTGATGAACATTTAGATTGTTTCTACCTTTTGGCTATTGTGAATAGTACTACAGTGAACATTGGTGTATATTTGTCTGTGTGGATGCTTTTAAGTCCCTTGGGTGTATCCCTAGCAGTGGAATTGGTGGGTCATGTGCTCAAATTTAGTTTTTGAGTTTCTTTTTGAAGCAATTCTATTTGTAAGGATTGATAGTCATGAATTTTATAATTATAAGCTATAAGAAGTTTGAATGAATAGAAAGAAAATTTACTTTTTTTAATTCTGTCTTGCAATTAACATATAAGTCAATTGATCCTATTTATAATTTAAGAAGCAGGATTGTAGTGATTTCATTATTCCTAATTTTGAAGCATTTTGCTATTTTATCACTAACATAGCTGTTTTTGTTATTAAACCTGAAGTGTTTAATGCACATAGGAAATTGATCCTGCATACAAAGCACTCTTAGCAATTATCTAAACATTACTTACCAATTTTTTCCAATTATGTTAAAATAGACTAAAATGGTAAGAAAATAGAAACCTCATGGAATTACTTAGAAAGATGATGCAATAGTGACATAAGTCATTACTATACTTTTATCTTTCAATTTATGGAGCTGCCCAAATGAATGCATCAACTAATGAAGGTGTGAAAGAAGTCTGAAGACTCTTTGTATTTTTTTGTTTCTTTCCTTTTAACTTTATTTGAACATAGATGAGAATTCAGAATTTTTAATTTTGCCCTTAATGGCAAAGAGCAGAAATTGACAGGAGGAGGGCTTTTCATAATTAATAGACAAGTTAGAAGATGAATTTGAAGAGAGAAGTTTGAATACTCTAGACACCACTGATAATGGTGTTAATTGATTGTAGACGTGAAATCTCAGACTATTAAGTTTTAGATAATTTTCTAGATGAGTAAAGCTGTGTATCTGATCCTGTTATAAGGACAGCCTGAATGTGTACTTCCTTTTGACATTAGTATTATTCTTGAATTCTAGCTATAATGGAAATAGAGCTCAAGTAATTTGCATGTGTGGAATTTAGTGCTTTCTAAAATTCAATGTGGTGGTATGTAGAATAGAAAAGAGAAGGATGAAATTGGAAGTATGTACATTCTGAGACTTTTGCTTCAGAATATAGATCCTGATGTATTTGTCCCAAATCTAAATGCTCCTTTGATATCTCCCCTTACCATAATTACCTAGTAATTTTCCTTGTGATTCTACTTACTACTTGTTGGACTGGTCTTATTCTCTATGAGGTTACCCATCTCAAGATCAAAGAATCATCCAAACATTTATGTATTTATTGCTATTTCAAATTGTCCATCCATTTTTGAATGTCACTTTTGAAAAGTGCCTAATTGTTGTGTTTTGTTGCCAGATTCCCTTATCATTTCCTACTATTGCAAGTTACTTGTTTTATCCAAACCTCAGGGAACAAGGAAATATGCCTTGCTGTTTTCTTTCACACTAAAAGACTGGGATATAATAACAAATTTGAATATGTCTCCTTTTCATAGGACATATGTTGACACTTATAAATGATGGCAAATTATTCTCATTTCTAGATTTCTGCATACTTGATGACCAGATGGAGAAGAGCCAAGAAAACCAAGACCAACATTTGTGGAAAATTGATTCCGTCAACAACAAAACCCTTACTAAGAAGAGAAGTAGTACATTAGGAAAAACATTTTATCTAGACACAAACCCTGTTTCATCAAGAAAAATACCTGGTAAATATGATTCATGTGGAATATATTTCAGAATTAATTGTTGGTAATAGGAACTCTTTTGTAAAGAAACCTGAAAAGTTTAATGTACATGGGAAATTGCTGCTCTGTACAAAGCATGGAAATCCTCATTCTAGAGACAAATCTCTTGAATATGATAGGAATAGAAAAGCCTTCTGGCAAAATGAGGACCTGTTTCAGCATCAGGATATTCAATCTTTGAAGCAACTTTTTGTTTATAACGAATGTGGGAAAACTTTCCATGCGGAGGCAGCTTTCACTAGCCATAAATGAGCAGGCTTATGGGAGAAGCCCTGTCAGTATAATGAACCTGTGGAAACCTTTTCTGACAGACCAGCATTCATTGTTCATCAGAGAACTCACACAAGGAAGAATCACTATGAATTTAATGACTGTAGGAGGAGTTGTGTTGGTGAGAAGTCAACTCTAATTAAACACCATAAAGTCCTCATGAGGGAGAAACACTATGATTGTAATCAGAGTAAGAATGGTTTCTGTAAGAAGTCACTCTTCACTCACACTCAGAGAACTTGTAAAGGAGAGAGAACCTTTGAGTGTAATGAAAATTGAGAAGTATTCTGCAAGAAGCTAAACTTTACTCAGCATCAACAAACACATAAAGGAAAAAAATCCTGTCAAATTAATAAATATGCTTGTTCTTTTTGCAAGAAGTCAAATCTTCCCTCATATCAAAAAGCAGGTATAGTAGAAAAACTTTATGAATGTAATGAATGTGGGAAAACCCTCAGCCAAAAATCCTCTTTCATCCTACATCAGAGAATACACAGAGAGGAGAAACCCTATTAATGTAATGAATGTGGAAAAAATTTCTGTGAGGAGTCAAATCTTCGTGTACATCAGAGAACTCACACAGGGGAGAAACCCTATGAATGTAATGAGTGTCAAAAAGCTTTCAGTGATAGGTCAGCTCTCGCAGTACATCAGAGAATACATACTGGGGAGAAACCTTATGAATGTAAGGAATGTGGGAAACACTTCTCCCAGAAGCCAAACTTCATTAATCATCAGAGAACTCACACAGGAGAAAAGCCCTATGAATATAATGAATGTGGAAAATCTGTGAAGTCAAAACTTAGAGAACATCAGAGGAGACACACAGGAGAGAAACCTTATAAATGTAATGAATGTGCACAAACTTTCTACCACAAGTCACCCCTCACAGTACACCAGAGAACCCATACAGGGGAGAAATCCTATGAATGTAATGAATGTGGGAAAACCTTCTACCAGAAATTGTCTCTTACAGAACATTGCAGAATACACATTAGGAAGAAACATTATACACATAATGAAACCTTTCTCCAGAATCCTGACTTAATCAGAGAAAACAACACTGAGAGGAAGCACTTGTCAACATTCTGAAGGTTCAGAAATGATGCTCTTCTTAGACTCATTGAATAGCAGAAACAACCCAGCAGATGGAGAAGGGAAAGGAATCTAATAAATTAGGAAACTCTTTTGCCCAGAAATGACATTTCATTGGGCAACAAATAATTGATGTTTAGGAAACCTTTTTAATATTGTGAGCATGTTAGTTACAGTGTCAGCAAAAAGTTTAAACTACATCCTGTATCAATGAGTTTGTACTGAATAGAACTATATCAGTTTGGGATTTGTGAATTAAAAAGTTTACCTTAAAATATACTAGAATTTCTGTTTCAGAGATATTATTTATTGAAAGTATTGAGTTACTGTCATCATATAGAATAGAAATCTTTTTAAAAAACACTAATGCCACTAATGAAAAATTACCGATGTTACAAAAAATACAAAGAGTTCCTCACTTTTGCAGGATAAATATGAATATGATGTATATGAGAAATTTTGCATGTTAGGTTTGCTTATTGGGACTCAACATTATAATAGGAAATGTACATGTTTGCTTAATAAGTATTATGAAGTGTATAGTTTCTCACACTTAGTATCTGTATTTTTTTGCTTTAATTGAAATTTTTGAGATAATTATAGATTATATAAGATATAATTATAAGAAATAATTCTGAGTGATCCTGTGTACCCTCTACCCGGTTTTCCCAAATTGTAATATCTTCCAAAATTATAATACAGTATCACAAAGATAATAACATTGATAGAATGTATTCATCATGTTCACATTTTCCCAATTTTAATTGTACTCATTTGTATGTATATGTATTTAGTTCTGTACAGTCTTATCATATCTGTAAGTCTGTGTTCATCACTACAGTCCAGATACAGAACAGTTCCATTACCAAAGGATTTTGTGTGTTTTCCTTTTATAACCACACCCACCTCCCTCCCACATTCCCCTCATCTACCTGTTACTCCTGGCAACTAGTAATGTGTTTTATGAATCTACAGTTTTTTTATTTAATAAATGTATGAATGGAATCATGTAGTGTGTAATTTTTTTTACTATGTCTTATTGTGATGAAAATATACATAACAATGCATATACCATCACAGTTTCTACATGTACAATTCAGTAACATTGACTACATTCTTCAAGTTGTGCATCCATTCTTGCTATCCTTTTCTCAATCATTCCACCACAGTTAACATAGACTCAGTGCCCACTAAGGACGAACTTTTCCTTTCTTCCACCCTCCAACCCCTGGTAACCACTAATAATCTTTGGTTTCAGTATAATTGCTTATTTCATACAAGGAAATTGTGAAATATTTCTTCTTTTGTGACTGAGTTATTTTGTTTAGCATGATATATTCAATTTTAATTCATGTGGTGTGCATTAGACCTTCATTTCTCTTTATGGCTGTATAATATTCCATTGTATGTATATGCCATATTTTGTTTATCCATTCATCTGTTGATGCACATTTCTGTGTTTCTACGTTTTGGCTATTGTGAAAAGTGCTGCATTGAACATTGTACTGGCTTCTGTTTGCGTTCCTGCTTTCACATACATCACATATACCTAGGATTGAGATCAATCAATCATATGGGGTTAGTTATCTAGTGCTGTGTTGTAGTTAAGGTTGTGTATCAACTTGGCTGGGCTGTGGTTTTGAGTGGCTTGGCAGCTAGTTAAGGAGCTCTGGTGGTACAGTGCCTAAGGGATTTGACTGCTAACTAGAAGATTGGGGGTTCAAGCCCACCAACCACTCCACAGAAGGAAGATGGGGCAATCTAGTTCTGTAAAGATTTACCACCTCAGAAACCCAGTGGGGGTCAATATGAGTCAGAATTGACTCAATGGCAGTGGGTTTTTTTTTTTTTTTTTTTTTTTTTTTGGTTTGGCAGCTGGATGTAGTTATTCCCCATGATGAGATTATATCACCTCCATGGTGAAATCTTCTGTGAGCAGCTAAGTAGTTGCCTTTGGATTGTAGTCTGTTTCCAGAATATATAGAGAAGCTTTGAGAAAGGTCTCTAGCTTTTTGGCACATTTAGATCCTGCATTTTCCCCTGAGTTTTCATCTCTAGCTCCTGAAGTTGAACCAGTGGCCTGCTGTGTGCCTGCTGATCTTGGGATTGTTCCTGGACTTGAACTAGTGGCCTGCTGTGTTGCTGCTGATAGTGGAATTGTGCCATTTTACCTGCTGACCTTGGGGTCAGCCTCAGCAGCCAGTAGCTATGTGAATTGGGAGATGCCTCCAGCTCCAAGGGGCCTAGAACAAAAGGCAGAGCTGAAGCCCAAGGTTGAGGAGCCTTTATCCAACCTCTAGAGCTGGCACTCTGAATTGGACTTCTAGCCTCCTATGTTGTTGTTGTTGTTATGTGCTGTTGAGTTGGACCAGACTCATAGTGTCCCCTCCTTGGGTTTCTGAGGAAGTATCACTATGGGAGTAGATTGCCCAGTCTTCCTTCTGAGGAGTGGCTGGTAGGTTTGAACTGCCAACCTTCTGGTTAGCACTCAAGTGCCTTAGACACTACGCTACCAGACCTAGCCTCCTATACTGTAAAATAAGAAATTCCTATTTGTTAAAGCCATCCACTTGTGGTATTTCTGTTATAGCAGCACTAGAAAACCAAGACTTGCTGCTATAACAGAAATAGCATAAATGGCTGGCTTTAACAAACAAGTTTATTCTCTCATAGGTTAGGAGACTAGAAGTCCAAATTCAGGCCACCAGCTCTAGGGGAAGGCCTCTCTCTGTCGGTTCTGGAGGAAGGTCCTGGTCTCCTTTGAATATCTATGTGCCTGGCATTCCTTGGACATGTCCATGTGTCTCAGTGTCAATCTGCCCCTGTATCTAGGAGGTTCTCAGCACAGGGATCTTGCATCCAAAGGATGTGCTTTACTTCTGGCTTTACTTTCTTGGTAGTAGTAGGTCCCTTTGATCTCTGCTTGCTTTTTTCTATCTCTTGTAAGATAAAAAGTGATTCAAGGCACACCCCAGGGAAATTCCCCTTATTTAATTATACATTAAATCAGATCAGGGCTGTGATCTGATTAAAGGTGTTGCATGTTGTTGTTATGTGCCGTTGAGTCATACCTGACTCATAGCGACCCCTCCTTGGGTTTCCGAGGCAGTATCACTACGGAAGTAGGATTGCCCAACCTTCCTTCCGAGAAGTGGCT